CCTATTTCAGCCTCAATCTATACACGTTCATATACAATCAAAGATCCATTCAAACATCACATAACATCTTCGCAATTGAAATCCGTTTTAAAATTACTATGCCAGGGCCTCGCGTACCTCGTTGCCTTTGTCAGACATGAGAATACTGTTGGTATTCGCCGGATACGAGCTGACGGCGGCGGAGGCGTCTGCCCGACCGAGGCGGTTGTCGGCGTCTAGTCACACACAATGCGAGGGCGAACAGCACGCCGAGCTGACGACGGCGCCACCGTCTGCCCCACCTAGGCGGTTGTCGGCGTCCACTACCGCACAACGCGTATGTTTTTTTCGTCGGCCAGGTACTGCTGGAGATGGCGGCGGCGGCGCGAGAGGCGGCGGGTGAGGCGACGTCAAGATACGGTTCACCCGATCATTTTTTAATCACTCGGACGTACGCAGCGGGGCGGGCGGGCATGCGGGCGGGTGTGCATGCGACGTGGGCGCGTACGGACGGTCGTACGCGACAGCGCCGTACGGCGACGCGGGCTCACGTACAGCGGGCGGGCATTTTAATACGGCGTGCGAAATGGCCGCCCTACCCTTTATACGTTTGGGGGGGGGGGTGGGTTGTACCGAAGACGAACAAATTTTCTCAAGTCTCTCTCAACAAGGACAATTCAAGAAAAAGATCATCACTACTATATTATCTTGTTCTCATTGTCATTCATATTATATTTTCACCCATTTCTTGTATTGCCGTATTGGGTCAGTAGATCACACAACGCCTGGTGGTTTACTCCATCTCTGTTTTTGCAGATTAGAATTAAATATGTTTGCTAGCCTATAATCCATTCTTTAGTCAAATAACCCGCAATGAAAGAAGCGTCTCATACAAAAATCCAACGGAGTGAAATCAGCGAATACCGACTCTTCTTCAGTGTCATCAAGAAACTAGCTGGGAATAATACCTGAGAGTCATCACGAGGTAGTCCATCTTCCGCGCCTCCCCAGCATCGCGTGGAACCCTTTGGCGGCTAACATGCCGAGGAGGACAATACGTCTCGGTGCCTCGCAACGCAAAACTCTTCCAGTTTTAGTTTTGGACCGTGCTATGCATCGGCCGGTAGATGAAATGGAAACATCGACCACCTCCTGCGCTGTTGGCTTGAGGCACAAATAGCCGCCGGATCTTCCCAATGAGGTGCGTCGTGAATTGCAACGTGGTAGATATTGCGTAGCTCACTCTACAACATGGTAGAGGTGTCGCTTAGCTTTTCCTTCATCCCATAGTTTTACTACTGTCGCGTTTCAGCTTATTCATTGTGACATTTGGGCTACACCCGTTGTAAGCTTTCCCTAGGCTTCAATCGGACACCTCTCTCACCTTACGTCGCTTTTTTCTTTTGTCCAAAACCAGTTTCATGTTATTAAAAGCATGCAATATGAAAATGATGGTGAGTTTATTAATGGATCCTTAGTGACCACATACCTCACCACAAAACAGGAAGGCCGAACGCATGATTCACACCAACCTGTGGTTGGATGGTTAGAGGAATTGTGCTATCCCATCCCACCAGGGTTCAAGTCCTGGTGCTCGCATTTATTCCTGGACTATTTCAGGATTTTCGTTGATGCCCATTCAGTGGGAGGAGACGTTCCCGTCGACGACGAGGTGCCTACGGTGAATTCGTAAATTTCAAGATGATATGTCGGCTCAGTCTTTTGAAGGTGTTCATAGGGGTAGGGTGTGCGTATGTGCGTTCATAGGGATAAGTGTATGCGCATGTATATGAGCGCTTACATCTGTACTGTGTTAAAAAAATGATATCGCTCGTACTCTTCTTCAAGCCAACCTAACAACTCCCTTTCGATGTTTTAAAAAACACCTCCTTTTGGGTTGAGGCCCGTCACACCGCCACACACCTACTAAATCGACACCCTTCTGCCTCCATTCGTCACACGACATCATACTTTCTTCTATATGGCCAGAGCGTCCGTCCTATGATCACCTACGCGTCTATGGGTGCCTATACTTCCCTAACTTGTACTCCCTCCATTCCTAAATGTAATGCGCATAGAGAGAAGCCCACATACCAATGCATGTGCTGGTGTTATATTTTGGACGAGAAATACCCCTATCGATCTGTAGCAGACACCATCTGCCCAATGCGTCAGGAGACTAGAAAATTGAAGTAAAACTACTGCGCCCTCCCATCATCTTGCTCTGTCCCATCCCATGTGTACGAGAGGGAATAAACAAGGGAAGGAGGCGATGCATTGGGTGGGTTGGCAGAGGGTTAGTTTTGTCTAAAATTGGGCTGGACTCGAACTACGCACTACATTGCGGAATTGTCTCAGAAAACTAATACGCACTATATTGAGGAACAGAGGGAGTATGCCATATCGCCACATAAGCTCGCTCCTAGGTTCACGCGGTGCGTTTTTCTCGGGGACGCCCTAGTCTACCTCTACCTTAATAATATTAAAGGGAGGATTGTTTCTCCATTTTTTTCGTCATCAGGTCCTTTTGTAGCTTGGCTATTTTTTTCGTCCGTCATCTGCATCCAATTTTCGTCTCTTGTTTGGGTATAGAGCGTATGAACATCATTTATGTATGTACAGAAAATTGTAAAAAAGAAAAGGTGAAGGTGGGAGTCGATCTCCAGACCTCCAGTGCTATTGCAACGACCGTAACCAACTGAGCTAGCTCTTGGTTATGCTGCGAAGTAGAGTTAGCCTCTTAATATACTTATGAGCCGACGTTGGGCCTGGTCTGCAGCAGAAAATAGTTACTCCAGCGGGAACGACAAAGCTAACTGAACTGGCTTACAATTGTCTTAGAAAAACATATGCGTTTCTAAATTAATTAGTCCCACATCGCTCGTTTACATCAAACTTCACCAATTTGTATACAATGAGTTGTACCAGAATCAGCAAGCAGCAATAGAGGGTCAAATGTGGATTCGATTTTATCTGCCAGGACGAGGAAGACGCGTGGCCTGCACACATACACACAGGAAAAAATAGCTCATGCTGGGGGTGGTGTGTTGTAAGTTGTAGGAGCCCTTGAATCATGGGGGAAAGAAGTAATGAGATTACTCCCGACCGGACAAGAAAACAACGTACACACAAAGACTCAGGTAGGGTAGGATAGCTCAAAAGCAATGGTAAATAAACAATTCTTTGGCGGTGAGGATCTGTGCAATTTTAATTAAGAAAATTGGATAAGTATACCGATGCGGGCCTCGGTACTACACAGTTTAATTCTGTCCTAAAACTTATAAAATGAACAAGCATGGAATTAATTATAGGCAGACAAGTTTACTGCTGAATATGATATTAAGAAACAACGTACACACAAAGGCTCGGGCAGGGTAGGATAGCTCAAAAGCAATGGTAAATAAACAATTCTATGGCGGTGATGATCTGTGCAATTTTAGTTACTCCCTCCGTCTCAGTTTACAAGTCCTACGCGTATACCTAGGTTGCCAATTTGATCACCCTAATATAAACTATATAACACAAAAATTATATCTTTTGAAAATAGAACATCTGAAGTTTATATTGGTATATTTTTTGTAATATATTACTTATATTAGGTTGGCTACATTGACGACCTAGGGGCACGCGCACGCCTTGTAAAATGAGAGAGAAGTAGTAAGAAAATTGGAGAAGTATACTGATGTGGGTGTCGAAACTACACAGTTTAATTCTGTCCTAAAACTTATAAAATGAACAAGCATGGAATTATAGGCACACAAGTTTACTGCTGAATATGACTATTAATTATTAGAAATATGTACAACATTACAATACTTACAGATTTGGCTAATTATTGTGATTTTGTATTATCATATGCAATGTTCTTTTATCTGATGAACAATAATATATTCCATGCCTAACATCATAGTTTGGGAATCTATCTTTGCCATCTAATTTTCCCTTAGTTTTTTCCGGCTCTATTGTATGTTTTTTCATGCACGTCATTACATTGAATGTTTAAGTTATATATTTGAGAATTTACGTAGAAACCCATTTCTAAATGTATGAACTTTGCATACTCTACACCAGGTGTGAGGGAATATCTGCATTTCTAAAGGGTTGGTGCATTGTTGTAAATATTCCCATTAAAATGATTGTCAAATTTTATTTTTTATTTAATAGTGGCTTAAGCCATCTCATAAAGATATTGTAGATATGCCTTGGTACTCCTATAGTACACGGTTTTTCGAGGTTGCTACCCGGTAGACACATTTACAATCACCCTCAGACAAAAAGAAAACTGGAACAATGCAAATTTAAACATTTCTTACAACATGAGGCAACGTCCATCGTTCAATATCTAATCAAGACGAGCAACCCCAACTAACATGAACCTCTTTAGAGAGTCTTCAAAAGATCGCGCGGTAGAGAAAGATAGTCGTTCTAAGGTGACGCAGAGACATATGTAGGGTGGGGGATGGAGTAATTCAATAGTAAAAGAGGCCAACATTATCGCGTGATTTACGTGATATTAAAAAAGATATGTGATTTACACAACTGATATTGAACAACAGAATATGTATCCAAAAGATATATGTCACCCAAAATTAGTATTGTGCAATAAAATATGTATTGCCCCGTCGCAACGCACGGGCATTTGTGCTAGTAAAGAACAAAGGCCAAGCTATAGTTGCTTTTGCCTCCACTCTCGCAAAGTCATCGTTTCCTGTCACGTCATCTTGGACGAAAATTCCTTTCCTTACTTGCCATACACCCCAGCGACTACAGATCTGCACCGGCCGCACAAAATCCGCCCAACCCGATCCCCCTCGGATCTCCCGCCGAAACAACCTCGTACCGGGCCACCCCATGCCCGCACGTATCCCACCCATCCACATCCGACACGCCCGGCTTCCACCAGTCTCCACCCGATCGACACGCCTGGATCCAATCCGCCTCTAAACCCTAGCTAGCGCACGCCGCCGCTCCCCCGACCTGCACCTTGCACGCCGCCGCTGCATCCGCACCTGCCGTGACTTATGACTCGCCGCAAGCGGTCGGCGATGTCGTACTTGGAGGATGCGACGGACTCGGGATCGGAGGATGCGTCTGGATCGGAGGATGACGAGATAACTGAACAGGGGGCAGCCGCAGCGACTTTGGCGGCGGGGTTATCGATCAAGCTCGTGATCGACACCAAGACTCAGAAGGTGCGGTTCGCCGAGGCCGGAAGCGACGTGGTTGAGTTCCTCACCGGCCTCTTGTCCCTGCCGCTGGGCACCGTCGTCGACCTGCTGACCAAGGAGCACATGGTCGGCAGCATCGGCAACGTCCTCGGCAGCGTGGAGAAGATGGACGCCGGCTACAAGGGCAAGGAGCGGCGCCTCAGTCCGGCCGTCGCCCCCGCCGCGCTCTCCCACCTGCAGCAGCTGCTGAGCAGGCACCTCAGCAACAGCAGAGCCTGCCATTGCACCGGTTCGATGTATAATTCTACCACGGGTGCCGCCGCGGGAACATCCACGAGGGCGTCGCTACACACGGCCACGTACACGGTCGGGGATGACCTCTCGGTGACTCCGGCGTCTTTTTTCTCGACCATCTCGCTACTGGGCATCACGCAGTTCGCACAATTTGGCGGCAAGGACCTCGGAGCGCTTCAGGAGAAAACAGTGAAGATCGGCAAGGAAGAGGTACGTACCTGGTGTCCTTCAGTTTCTAGGAGTTTTGAACTGGTGATTGATTTCTTTTCTCTGCGTTGGAATGTAGGCGCTGAGAATACTCGCTGCTTCCCTCAAGTCCAAGACCGTGCTGACAGATGTCTTCCTGGCTCAAGAGTGAAGCCAATGTCCAGATCTGATTGCCATCAAATAGTTATTCAGAATTTCATTACATATCATTCAATCATTATGATATATATATTTTTCCATATGACTTTAATTTAGTCGTGTTAAATTAATCAGGGGCATGTTTTCCTTCTGCGGCTGCTCCCGTGACAATGAATCAAAGGTTCTGTCAATGCTGCTTTTGGTGTCTCTCGGTTGATTGTTTGGAAGAGTGAGTTTGTTAGAATTGACGGATCAGCATAAATTTGAACTAGTTACGGATCAGCATACAAATGTACATCCAACCAGAAATGAAAGTTGGAAGTAGATTCATTTCTACACACGACGCACAATCCTTAGATCACCGATTAAACAAACACAGAACATACAGTTTCATGACCTCTATCACAAATTCACAATGCGTGATAAAATTTATGCAGTGACCCACTATTGGGGACGCAGGACGCTTGCTTAGCCCCATTTGTGCTGGTAATTTCATAACACAGTTGATGGTGCCCAATCGTGTTGGACGACCTGACATATCACCCATTGAGAAGTCGAGAAGTTCAGCTGTCATGATTGGGCAAAGAACACCGGCAAGTCTGTTTGACAATGGATGGAGGGAGAAAAATAGGGCGAGTCTAGGTCTCTAGGATAGCCTTCACACACCCAAAAAAAATGATCTAACAAATCATACTCGAACTTGTTTTTCTTAATTGTTCTAATACAAGCTGGGGATTACTTTGCTAACTAGTTCACTTAAGGTAAAAACTTTCATTGACATGAAACAACACGATTAAGGTATCACTGCTGTACAAGCTAATAAATCTTGAAGAATATGAAACATCTGGTATTGTCTTGGAAAATAGAAGTGGTGTATGGAAAACCATTTTGTATTTATAATTATTTCAAAATATCTATGGTATGTTTCAGGAACATAATGTGCACTACAAAATCCCCAAGCATGCATGACAGATGGTCAAAACTATGCACCCTGGAGTAACAAAAGTGAATCCCCAACGCTTGTTAACATCGACTAGTTTTTCTGCAAGCACTGAATGGGATGCCATCTTCCCCT